CTCCTCCTCCATGTTACCTATATCACGATTCCCCCCTCTACCCCCATTGTTACCTATATCAACTATCCTCCCTCCTCCCCTCTATGTTACCTATATCAACGATCCTCCCTCCTCCCCTCATGCTACATATATTACGATCCTCCCCTCTCCCCAAATGTAACCTATATCAACGGTCTTCCCTCCTTCCCTCCATGTTACCTATATCAACTATCATTCCTCCTCCTCCTCCTCCTCCTCTATGTTACCTATATCACGATCCTCCCCTCTCCCCCAATGTTACCTATATCAACGGTCCTCCCTCCTCCCCCTCCATGTTACCTATATCAACTATCACTCTCCTCCCCCTCCATGTTATCTATATCAACGATACTCCCTCCTTCCCCTCCATGTTACCTACATCAACGACCCACCCTCCTCCCCCTTCATGTTACCTATATCAACGATCCTTCCTCCTTTCCCCCATGTCACCTATATCAATGACCATCCCTCCTACCCCCATGCCCTCTATATCAACGGTCCTTCCTCCTCCCCCATATAACCTATATCAACGATCCTACTACCTCCCCCCATGTTACCTATATCAACGATCCTCCATCCTAACCCTCCATCTTACTTATATCAACGATACTCCATCCTTACCCTGCATGTTACCTTTATCAACGATCCTCCATCCTCGCCCTCCCCCTTCCTCTGCATGTTACTTATATCAATGACCCTCCCTTCTCTCTCCATGTTACCTATATCAAACAATCCCCCTCTTCCATTTCATGTTACCTATATCAAACAATCCTCCCTCCTCCCCCCTTGCTACCTATATCACGATCCTCCCTCCTCCCCAATGTAACCTATATCAACAGTCCGCCCTCCTACCCCCATGCCACCTATATCAACGGTCCTCCCTCCTCCCCCATGTTACCTATACCAACGATCCTCCCTCCTCCCCTCATGCTACCTATATCAACGGTCCTCCCTCCTTCCCTCCATGTTATCTATATCAACGGTCCTCCCTCCTCCCCATCCATGTTACCTATATCAACGATACCCTCCTTTCGCTCCATGTTACCTACATCAACGACCCACCCTCCTCCCCCTGCATGTTACCTATATCAACGATCCTTCCTCCTTTCCCCCATGTCACCTATATCAACGATCATCCCTCCTACCCCCATGCCCCCTATATCAACGGTCCTCCCTCCTCCCCATGTAACCTATATCAACTATCCTACATCCTCCCCCCATCTTACCTATATCAACGATGCTCGTTCCTCACCCTGCATGTTACCTTTATCAACGATCCTCCATCCTCGTCCTCCCCCTCCCTCTGCATGTTACTTATATCAATGACCCTCCCTCCTCTCTCTCCATGTTACCTATATCAAACAATCCTCTTCCTCCATTTCATGTTACCTATATCAAACAATCCTCCCTCCTCCCCCCTTGCTACCTATATCACGATCCTCCATCCTCCCCCAATGTTACCTATATCAACGGTCCTCCCTCCTCCCCATGTTATCTATATCAACGATCCTCCCTCCTCCCCTCATGCTACCTATATCACGATCCTCCCACCTTCCCTCCATGTTATCTATATCAACGACCCACCCTCCTCCCCCCACATGTTACCTATATTTAACTATCCTCCCCTTCCCCCTCCATAAAACCTATATCAACTATCCTTCCTCCTTCCCTCCATGTTACCTATATCAACGACCCTCCCTCCTCTCCCTCCATGTTACCTATATTTAACGATCCTCCCTCCTCCCCCTCCATGTTACCTATATCAACGATTCTCCACTTCCCCCTCCCCCTCCATATAACCTATATTTAACTATCCTCCCCTTCACCCTCCATGTTACCTACATCAACGATACGCCATCCACATCCTGCATGTTACCTATATCAACTATTCTCCCTCCTTCCCTCTATGTTACCTATATCAACGATAATCTCGCCTTCCCCTCCATGTTACCTATATCAACGACCCTCCCTCCACTCGCCCCCATGTGCTACTTATATCAACGACCCTCCATCCTCCCCCTCCATGTTAACTATATCAACGACCCTCCCTTCACACCACCCCCATGTACTACATATATCAACGATCCTCCCTCCTCCCCCCATGTTACTTATATCAACGATCCTCCATCCTCACCTTGCATGTTACCTATATCAACGATCCTCCCTCCTCCCCTCGAGCTACCTATATCACGAGCCTCCCACCACCCCTTCCATGTTACCTATATCAACGATCCTCCCTCCTCCCCTCATGCTACCTATATCACGATCCTCCCTCCTCCCCCTCCATGTTACCTATATCAACGATTCTCCATCCTCCCCCTCCATATTACCTATATTTAACTATCCTCCCCTTCACCCTCCATGTTACCTATATCAACGGCCCTCCCTCCTCCCCCTGCATGTTACGTATATCAACGACCCTCCATCCTCCCCCTCTATGTTACCTATATCAACGATCCTCCCTCCACCCCAACCCCATGTGCTACCTATATCAACGATCCTCCCTCCTCCCCCACGTTACTTATATCAACGATCCTCCCTCCTCCCCCTGCATGTTACCTATATCAACGACCCTCCATCCTCCCCCTCTATGTTACCTATATCAACGATAATCTCGCCTCCCCCTCCATGTTACCTATATCAACGACCCTCCATCCTCCCCTTCCATGTTACCTATATCAACGATCCTCCCTCCACCCCACCCTCCATGTTACTTATATCAATGATCCTCCCCCTCCATGTTACCTTTAACAAACAATCCTCCCTCCTCCCCTCATGTTACCTATATCAACGGTCCTCCCTCCTTCCCTCCATTTTACCTATATCAACTATCCTCCCTCCTCCTCCTCTATGTTATCTATAACAACGACCCACCCTCCACTCCCAATGTTACCTATATCAACGGTCCTCCCTCCTTCCCTCTATGTTACCTTTATTAACGATAATCTCGCCTTCCCCTCCATGTTACCTATATCAACGACCCTCCCTCCACCCCACCCCCATGTGCTACCTATATCAACGATAATCTCGCCTCCCCCTCCATATTACCTTTATCAACGACCCTCCATCCTCCCCCTCCATGTTACCTATATCAACGACCCTCTCTTCACACCACCCCCATGTACTACCTATATCAACGATCCTCCCTCCTCCCCATGTTACTTATATCAACGATCCTCCATCCTCACTCTGCATGTTACCTATATCAACGATACTCCATCCTCACCCTCCATGTTACTTATATCAACGATCCCCTATCCTCACTCTCCATGTTACCTATATCAACGATCCTCCCTCCTCCCCCCATGTTACCTATATCAAATATCCTCCCTCCTCCCCTCTATGTTACCTATGTCAACGATCCTCCCTCCTCCCCTTCCATGTTACCTATATCAACGATTCTCCATCCTCCCCCCTCCCCCTCCATATTACCTATATCTAAATATCCTCTCCTTCACCCTCCATGTTACCTACATCAACGATACGCCATCCTCATCCTGCATTTTACCTATATCAACGACCCTCCCTCCTCCCCCTACATGTTACGTATATTAACGACCCTCCATCCTCCCCCTCTATGTTACCTATATCAACGATCCTCCCTCCCCCCTCCTCTATGTTACCTATATCAACGATCCTCCCTCCTCCCCTCGTGCTACCTATATCACGATCCTCCCTCCACCCCCAATGTTACCTATATCAACGACCCTCCCTCCTCCCCCTCCATGTTACCTATATCAAAGACCCTCCCTCCTCCCCCTCCATGTTACCTATATCAACGACCCTCACTCCTCCCCCTCCATGTTACCTATATCAACGATACTCCATCCTCACCCTCCATGTTACCTATATCAACGATCCTCCCTCCTCCCCCTCCATGTTACCTATATCAACGATCCTCCCTATTGCTATTGTTATTCATGGTTTGTTTAGTGCCCATCGGATAACTCAAACTTGGTTAGAACTAGGTGATTCTGATCAGCTTCCACGGGCTGATGGGCGGGCCCAAATTGGTCAACTTAATTGAATATTCAAAGACTTTCTTCTCAAGACCGACATAGAGCAGATTATAAAACTTCATGGATGGAAGGGTCTTTAGTGCTTTACCAAAATGATTTAATTCATTGCCAAAGGGTCTAACATTATCTCGGAGAGGGTTACGTTTTTTTCAATATTTTAGTTTCCATGCCCTCTTTCTCATCAGTTAGGTCTCGCTTGGTCTCTTGTTATAATCTTATTTATATAACCTGATATCACTTATTTATATCCATGCTACATTCTTTGTTGATACATTTTACTTATTTAACAGAAAACGCAAAAAATAATAATAATAAAAATAAAAATACGATTTCCAACCCAACATTTGTCTAGTATGTTTGTATGAATTTTAACAATGAAATTTTCATTTTTCATCCCGCCATCCCTTTTGACCCACATATTAAAGTATGAGTCAATGCAAAATCTGCTGTTTCGAACCGCATATTAGGCCTACATCGTATGTGAAGGTAACTCAAAAAGTCCCGGAAAAAAAAATGTTATATATATTGCTCTTCTTCACAGAATGGTTGAGGTGCTGTCTTTACACACATGCAGGCGGAATTGTGTAATTGCAATCATGTATGTAGATGAACACATATTGAATCCTAACAGAGGCTTTTCGCTGATCTAGATACAATTATTTGAGGCACTGCAATCCCTAGTATTTATTTTTTTCAAACAATATTAAATATAGTTATAGTACTCTCAGAGACGTATATATCACATGTGATATTTACGTCTCTGGTACTCTACACCATCTTCGGGGAAAATATAATTGAAAAAAATGTATATATAAATGCTTAAAAGAAAAATTGAGTCCTTGCACACACGTTGTTTATTTCCTTAATAACATAAATATTGTTGTCTCCTGCACTGCACTTATTACTGAAACAACACATAGTAATTGAATGTTCGATGACCGAGGTGTTCCGAAAGACCGATCGCACGATTGTACGCAGTATGTACTTTCTGTTTGTGTCGTAAAATATGTGGACATACTCGTCATTGGTGAGGTCCAGTAAGTATACTTAATGTGTGAAATGACTTAAGAATGCGAATGAATTTTGTGTAGTAAGTTACACAACATAAATATAAATAAAACGTCTGGTATAGATCAGATTCGTGCCAAGTTCTCAAAGGATGCTGACCTGTCACAGGGGTCTGCAACATTAATGTTTCCGGGTGATGAGAGATTGTATATATAGTAATATAACTTCTAAAGGCGACCAACGAAATACCAGAAAATTCAACACCATCAGAAAAATTACCGCTATTTGGTCAAATGCTCTTCAGTTTTTACATCTTTGGTACCGAACTTTACACAACTTTTGCTCACTGTCAATGCGAAACCTGTTAGTCGTGATCATATATTCAATATTGTTTTCTGAAATTTTGGAAAAAGCTGTTTGCAACAAGTTTGAAAAAAATAGCTTTAGAATAATTTACTCTATGAACCCTATAGGTTCCTGTTGAATTTCTCTTCCCACTAAGTCCATGATCTTACTGATTATAACAAATCAAACACAGCTAAAAGTTTGTATACCAGCATGCTCCTACTAGGTATCATGGTATACAGGTTCATGTTAAATTTCTCTTCCCACTAAGTCCATGATCTTACTGATTATAACAAATCAAACACAGCTAAAAGTTTGTATACCAGCATGCTCCTACTAGGTATCATGGTATACAGGTTCATGTTAAATTTCTCTTCCCACTAAGTCCATGATCTTACTGATTATAACAAATCAAACACAGGTAAAAGTTTGTATACCAGCATGCTCCTACTAGGTATCATGGTATACAGGTTCATGTTGAATTTCTCTTCCCACTAAGTCCATGATCTTACTGATTATAACAAATCAAACACAGGTAAAAGTTTGTATACCAGCATGCTCCTATTAGGTATCATGGTATACAGGTTCATGTTAAATTTCTCTTCCCACTAAGTCCATGATCTTACTGATTATAACAAATCAAACACAGCTAAAAGTTTGTATACCAGCATGCTCCTACTAGGTATCATGGTATACAGGTTCATGTTAAATTTATCTTAGCAACTCGAATACAGCTAAAGATTTGTTTACATGTCAGCATGATAGTACTACTACACCAACAAAAAGCTTTTGATACTGATAATCATTCTATTCTATGTGATAAATAGAATATTTTTGGTGTGGATCATATGAATAGCTGAATCTTGCTTATGAAGCAGATCTCAGTTCGCTGTTGTCAATGGCAGCTTCTTATTGAAAAAATGCCCAAAGTGGAGTTCCCCGAGGCAGTATACTGGGCCAAGTTCTAGTCATAATCTAGATGAATATAGATAATTCATGTAAATGCCTTATATATGCAGAAAATAGTGCAATTATTTTTTTTTATACACAAGTTCAGATTTCGTGAAACCCTGGTAAAATACTATCCACAATTTACCTTTTGGCTAGAGAGATCTTGTCATTAGTTGAATTTCAGACAAGTAATCCAGAGGTCACCGGTTCGAATCCTAGCATGATAAACCATGTCACAAGATCAAATTCTACAAGTTTTAATCCATTACCAAATATTCAAATGAGACTTTGTAAGAACATGAATACATATATATATATATATATATATGTAACTTAAAAATGCTTTGTGTATCGATAAGATATGTGAAAAGAATAAAATCAACACAGCAGATGTCTTCCGCTAACGTTTTCAGGACTAACAGCCATCATTAGACAATACATTAATATATGAAGGTGGCCGTTAAGCCTGAAAATGTTAACGGAATACATTTGCCGTGTTGATTTTTTCTTTTCAAATAAATATATATATATATGTGTCTTCCTAAGTGTGTTCTCTTCATTTGTTAGGCTATGACATTAATAAGTTCTTTAAAAGGATATCTGAACATTTATATATGAGCCATGCTTTCGTCGGATCACAGGCTTAGATATATATCCGTCTATGATCAGATCTTCATAATATGTATGTATGAGTCTGATATTAATTACAGGTGTGTTTATTTTCCAGATGTACCTTTCACTTGACGTTCTATGTCAGACATGGATTACCCCTAATGTTTGGATTATTGTAGTACGACAGTAGTCATGACAACCCAGGTGTCTAAGTGGGTGTGCTACACTTTATTTAGGGTACTTCTGCCCATCATTCTACTTGCAGGTAATGTCAAGTATAAATACTGCTGTATGTTACCAATAGGTACCCCTGCTGGAGGTTGTGAATAAATAAATAAATAATGATAAAAAAATGAAAAATGAAATGCTTTTGGACATATAAAGGTGTAACATGTAGTCTACGGTCTCTGTTTATAAGTTTTTTCTGTTAGAGAATGAAATTGCTGAAGAAGCATATCAGCATCAAACTGACCTAGACATTGAGAGGTGTATCTATTTCAGAACTGACATTACACTAGTTTATAGATGTATTGATTTGAAAACTTTGGTTCATGACCTCAAATTATTGAACTTGGCATGTTACAATATGAGACCTCTAATGTTTGACCATGATATGTTACAGTGTATGACCTCTTATTATTGACCTTGATGTGTTACAGTGTATGACCTCTAATTATTGACCTTGATGAGTTACAGTGTATGACCTCTAATTATTGACCTTGATGTGTTACAGTGTATGAACTCTAATTATTGACCTTGATGTGTTGCAGTGTATGACCTCTAATTATTGACCTTGATGAGTTACAGTGTATGACCTCTAATTATTGACCTTGATGTGTTAGAGTGTATGACCTCTTATAATTGACCTTGATGTGTTACAGTTTATGACCTCTAATTATTGACCTTGATGTGTTAGAGTGTATGACCACTAATTATTGACCTTGATGTGTTACAGTGTATGACCTCTAATCATTGACCTTGATGTGTTACAGTGTATGACCTCTAATGTTTGGCCATGATATTTTACAGTGTATGACCTCTAATGTTTTACCTTGATGTGTTACAGTCTGTGCGGTGAGGTACAATGCACTTTCCTTTATATATCTGGTGTTTTTACTGGCCTGGCCGCTTTTACCAACACCAAACAGAATCAACATCAAAGGTAAGTTTTAATAGCAAGAAAAAAGAATCTACAGACTGCTAACACTTAGAGATATCCACACTTACATATTCATGAATGAAAACATGTATAATTATTCCCCACACTCATGCCCTGGGATGCTTCTTGTAATAGCTGCCAGTCAGAAATTCTTTGGAACTTTTCAGAAAATTTGTTTGTTTTGTTTTTCATTGTTTTCATGCACTCCTGTGAACGTGTTCATCAAGTTACTGCTAGTAGGGCAGGTAATAGTTTAATAGGGTTCTGTAACATTGCTAATGAAGAGTCCATTTAGAGACGATATTTCCAATGAATTTATGACCTACATGACTTAGGTCCAGCAGGATGCTGACACTTGTTGCAGCATGGAGTAATGTAACAAAAGGTATGGTCTTGCCTAAAAGTCTACAAATGTAAGTTGCCTCCTCCATAGATTTTTTTCACAGTTGCCTGTAGCTTCAAAACCTGGTCCCATTCAAAAGATGGATTTCTTGAATTTCATTGACTGCATTAACTGTAGTGATTGGAAACTGGTTAAAGTAATAATCAATCATTGGTTATAATCTGTATTCTGATGTACTTCATTGATTACATAATTGGCCAGATGGGTGTTCAATATTATAATCTGTATTCTGATGTACTTCATTGATTACATAATTGGCCAGATGGGTGTTCAATATTATAATCTGTATTCTGATGTACTTCATTGATTACATAATTGGCCAGATGGGTGTTCAATATTATAATCTGTATTCTGATGTACTTCATTGATTACATAATTGGCCAGATGGGTGTTCAATATTATAATCTGTATTCTGATGTACTTCATTGATTACATAATTGGCCAGATGGGTGTTCAATATTATAATCTGTATTCTGATGTACTTCATTGATTACATAATTGGCCAGATGGGTGTTCAATATTATAATCTGTATTCTGATGTACTTCATTGATTACATAATTGGCCAGATGGGTGTTCAATATTATAATCTGTATTCTGATGTACTTCATTGATTACATAATTGGCCAGATGGGTGTTCAATATTCATAGAATTTGAATGTACTCTGTGGCATTGATATTTTCATTTTTAGTAACTTTAAGCTAAATTACCTCACTTATCTAGAATTTACAAGAATGAATATTATTGATTGGCAATTAGCATAGTTTTCATGCATGTTTTGCTAAAACACAAGAAACCTACGGCAGTTTGTGAAAAATTATAACTGACCATTCCATCAGCTTAGATTAAACAATAAGGTAATTGATAACCTTGAACCGATCATTATCCCATCACTTTTGTAGGACCATATACTTATTTTTCATTTCTTGGAGTATTTGGACTATCTTTCCCAGTGTCTGTGAACCTTCCGTCTTTCTAGCACCCAACACTGTTGATTTCATGCTCCGTTTCTTGTCGATGTAATGTATAGTACTGGTATCTTTCTGTGCTTATACAAATTTATTAGCCAAGGGTCATGTCAACTCTATTACAGCTCCAGATATCACTTTAATTTTCTGTTCCATATCATCATTTTTTTGTTCCAAGATCAATCATGAGATGCTTTCTATTTGATATTGTGTGTATGAAATAATTAAATTTAAATATGACATAGGGTTTTCATTTCATAAGGAACACAATGAATATACGTAACAAGAAGACAGAAAATGAGAAACAAATTGTTACAGGAATTGCCAGATTAATAAATAATTAGTAAAGTTGTTAAACATTAAGACAAGGTTGTTATTGATTAAGTAATTATTTTATTTACAAATGATGCCAAACCTTATCTACAAACCATGATTGTGTGTGTCGTTCTTTTAAACAGCAGGTGTAGGAGATGACACTTTGCATTATCTTGGTTTTGAGGTCACCAAAGACAGTCTCAGGGTGATTTATTGTGATCCCCATTTGTAAGCTTCATGTGTCGTAAACTTTTAGTATTTTCGACTTCATCTGGAAAACTCATGAAACCATTTCAGGGAAATTTTTTTAAAAACCTTCAATGGCTAAAGGCGCACCAAAAGTTTAAATTATATGGTCTCTAACCCCCAGGGGTTTGAGGGACGAGGCCAAAAAGGGTCAGATTGACTGAAACTTCAAAAAAAAGCTTCTTCTCAAATCCCAGATATGGTAGAACCAAATATTCTTCATGGATGGAAGTGTCTTACGGTGTTTTACCAAAATTATAAATTTCATGACAACAGGGTGCCTGGGGAGAAGGTAAACTTTACTATAGTTTATAAAGGAAAATTACATTTTTGATCATAATTTTTAATAGTTCAAACTTAATAGAATTATGAGTTGAAGATGACAGTTTGAGGAGATGCACTGATTGACTTTTGCTGACCTTCAAGGGCTGTTGGGCAGGGCTAAAATGAGTCAAATTTACTGAAATTTCCAAAGATGTCCTGCTGTTCATAGATTGAAGACACTACATGTATATAGGAAAATTCAAATTTTGAGGGTGATTTCTTTAATCCAAACTTGGTTAGAAGCCTTAGTATGGGACAGCAGTTAATGTTATGCTTTTTCATTATGTGTACAATATATACTAACACGAAAAAGAAACGCCGGGTACACTAAATATACTACAAATAATTTATTGCTTGGCCTAGAATAATGATACTCGGTCAGGTTGATGTGTTGTTCGTGGTCACTAGGTACACATGTTTAAAATCACACAATACCTGACCTATAGGAATGCTTTTGCAGGGTCAGGGCCAACTTCAGGTTGCTGCATATTTTGGTGTGCATATTCGGACAATTCAACGTCTTGTCCAACGTATGTGAGTGACGGGGAGGGTCATTGATCGACCGCAAAGTGGATGTCGGCGCGTCACGACGCCACATCAGGATCGGTTTATAAGACTTTCTCACGTCCGTAATCACCATCTCACAGCTACCGAAAATGCAAATAACACTATAGGCAGTCATAACCGCCATATTCATCCTGATACGGTTCGAAACCGATTACGCATCAATGGCCTAAGAGCCCGACGTCCCTATGTTGGTCTGCCCCTAACTCCTGCGCGTCGCCAACGCCGATTGGCTTGGTTACAAGCACACTCATCCAGAAATTTTCCTATGAGGCAATGGAGACGGGTATTCTTCACTGACGAATCCCGGTTCACTCTCTACCGTTCGGACGGGTGACGTCGTGTATATCAACGTCGAGGGGAACGTTACACCGACGCGTGCGTTGCTGATTCGGATAGGTTTGGCGGTGGTTCAGTATGTGTTTGGGGCGGTATCTCCTATGGGTTTAAATCACCCCTGATCATGATTGATGGTAATTTAACCAACGTAAGGTATAGAGACGAAATCCTTCACCCAGTTGCCGTGCCATGTGTGCAAGCACGGAACCTGATATTCCAGCAAGACAATGCCTGGCCCCATGTCGCTAGAGTTTGTCAGCAACTTCTTGCCAACAATAACGTAATCCCAATCGTTTGGCCAGCATTCAGTCCAGATTTGTCTCCAATTGAGCATTTGTGGGACGAATTGGATAGGAGAGTTAGGAGACGTCCAAGTGCTCCCACTAATCTGGTCCAGCTCACACGTGCCTTGCATGAAGAATGGAATAGCATCCCCATTGCAAGGGTTAACACCCTGATGAATTCCATGCATAGAAGAATCAGGGCTGCGACAGCTGGGCATGGAGGACACACAAGATACTGAAATGTCCGGCCGTGTTGCGCAATACAAGTAGGGTCATCGCTAAAAGGGGGATAGTTTTGGCATAATTAGCATCGATAATTGATAGAACCTTCAACAAATGGTTCCAAACAGATGAAATTGTATACAAAAATGAATGAAATAATGTAACATTAAATTATATCATTTAAAAGAATCTTTTTAGGTTACACAGCGTTTCTTTTTTGTTTTAGTATAGTTAAATTTAAGTTCTCTTACAATTTTTTAACAAAAGCATTTCTATGGCATGTTACAAGATGCATTGTGACTGTCAAGGCCCTTTGGCCTCTTGTTTAATTGCAGGTATCAATGGAGCCTACCTGAGCTGTATAATTGCTGTGAGTGCTTTAGGCACACTTGCTCATATAGTCTTCCATATAGCTATGGCGGATAGCAGTGCACCATACGGATCTGTCTTACAAAATTGTAAGTTTTGAACAATGTCATTTATAAGGTCATTATATTGTTGGTCACAAATGATACACATTTTTAGGTTATCTGACCAAAAGGTCAGATCTGACCTATAGCCATTATGTTTGGTCTACTGTGCGGGTTCATAAACTTTTTCTTTTAAAATGCTACTCTTCCTTAATGCTTTAGTGGATTTCAACAAAATGTGTTTTGAAAGATCATTAAAGGTAGGCAGTGACTTCTTAAATTCAGAAAGTTGATTTGACCCACAGGAACTTGAAACATTGTCCATAAATTGGGACTTGGCAGATTTCAAAATAGTCAAATTTAATCTGAATCTGAACTGCGGGGCAATCATTTCTTAAGTTCAGAAAGCTGATGATTCAATCCCTTAGGACTTGGTGGTGGGGCACAAAATGGAGAAATCAACTTCAGTATTTTATTGGCGTCATCTTCTCCGTCCGTCCATCCGTACGTCTGTCCGTCCATTTCTTGTGAACGCAACTCCTCCTAAACTTATCATCAGATTTTCATGAAACTTGCTCAATGTCACTACTACAATGGTTCGATACGCATGAAGAGGCGATTTTTTGGTTCATTGATTTCAACTTTGTATCTGTAATTTGCTTATAGTGGAGCCTTGTGAAAGCAGCTCCTGAAATAATCATCAGATTTTCACGAAACTTGCTCAATGTCATTAATACAATGGTTCGATGTGCATGAAGGGGTAATTTTACGGTTCATTGATTTTTGTAAGATTTATGCCATTTTATCTTGATCTTTATATTTTGTGGCGGCGTATATTGTGTCCACGGTACTTTTGTCTTAAAAATTTTTAAGTTAAATTTCCTAAACCTGCTCGTTCATGGCAAAACGTAAAAAAACTACCACTGAATGAAAATGGTCGTTTATTATACGACATCAAATCAAATGTTACATTAAAGAAATTAATAAATCATTCTGTGGGTTAATAACCGCGAGGAAAATCCCATCACAAGCTATCAAAGTTACATAACACATATACATGTATTTCACTCGATCCCCCAGGGGCCAATAAGCAAGACTCATTCATATATTGTAGCTGCTGTATATTCTAACCCCTCCAGTAGCTTTGTTAGAATGGAATATGTAATGGGCAAGCATACGTCAGCTGCACACTTACAGTTGGAATACCCGTTAACATTTTTCTTATCACCAAATTGTCACCTGGATCATCATGGCCCTGTAATTTGTTATAATATCCAATGGCCAAGACATATGTTAACACTGTTCAGGCAGCTAGTCCTTTGGATGAACAGTAAGCTATAAACAATGACAAACAAGTTGTACTTGTTGGAAATACCTCTGATTCAAAGGTGATGCAAGCATGTAAAATGTTAAAGTTATGATAACGCTTTGCTGTACACTTTCCTTGATTGAGGTGCTAAGGCACTGTCTAGTAGGAACTGTTTCTCGTCCATTAAAGATACCAGGCTCTGGACATTGGGATGTCCAGCTCCCAGTTGACCTCTGAGTACTGGCTGAAGAAGCTCTTGATCTGTAAACATGACAACATATCAAATATTGCATCTGTTTTGTAATCTTGTTCCCCATGTTTCAATAGCCAGTATTATGGGAAACAGTTCCTTAATAGAGATTGATATTCTGACATTGATTCACTGACCACAAAACCAGGAATGTTCCAGGACTGCCTCCAAACCCCTAACATCAGTATACATATGGAGATGATCAGAGTTCTCCCAAATAATTGACGGGAACATAGATTTACCATTATAGGTGTTGATCTAACCAGACTCTTAGGTCTTTCCCTGATTCCTGATTAAGTCTAATTCTATGATGGGAAGCCTAGACTCCCAAGGTCAGATCAATTAAGCGCCTTAAAAAATCTTGACCAGGTATTTCAATTTAACAAGCGAAATTCAAAAGGCCAATGAGAGATTGGATCTCTTTCAATGTCACCTTTTTTTCTGGTTAGAAAATGTTCCAGACTACTTTGGATTTTACTCCCTTTCTCCAGAGGGAGTCGGGCTTCAAAAAGTAAGGAATTTCATTCAACTCGTAGAAATACTATGACTGTGTTTGGAGCTACTGTTTTATCAGACTTAATAGGACAATAAATGTCTCTACAAAACTCCAAAAATCTTAACAAATATTGTTTACCTAGATTGATGTCAGGTGGTGAGATGAAAAGAAAATCATCCAGGACATTAACACCAGCCTGAACTCCAAGCTTATTTTCTGCCACTCAATGCAAAGATGAGCTAAAACTCTCGAAAAGATTACACGATATAGAACACCCCATTGGTAGTGTCTTATCAAAGTAGTACTGTCCTCTGATCTTAGAGCACAATAACTCCCTAGGCTTAATTGGTATGAGTTTAAAGGCTCATTCTTTATTTGGTTTTACTAATAGGGCACCCCTCCTGGCCTTACAAATGTGAGCTTTAACATGATCGATGGTCCGATACTGAACTGAGCACAAGTCTGAGGGTATTCCATCATTTATAGATGAACCTAAATAGTGGATTAACCTAAATTCATCTGGAGACTTTTTGGGTGCAAAACCTTAAAGTGAAATTTGCATATTTTTAAATGGGGGATAATCAAAAGGACCCTCCACTCTCTTAGCATCAATCTCTTTCCTAATTTTATGCAGTAATATTGTAGGATGCTCTTTAGCAGAAGATAAGTTTTCAGCTTCTCTGAATTTTTGAATACCACAAAATTGCAAGGAAAACCCCTCTGTTAAGCCGGTTATCAAAGGGTCTTGAAGGGAAGGGGGGTAACCTATAAGCCAGTTACTGAACACTGGGATGTTAATAGGGGTAACTATCAGGGATGAACTGTATTCAAAAGGCCTAACCAAATTACTTAGGAGCCCTGGTATTGACAGTTTGTTCTCTCAAGCTATTGTCTCTTTTGGGGCAAGACTTCTTGGCATGCCCTCCATTGCATTTTTCACATCTGTTGGGGAATTTACAATCCTGTCGGTTACATACACCCTGTTGTAGAACTGCCAACAAACTCGGGGTTGGTTTTGATTTGAGTTTTGACTATTATGGTGAAAATTACCATTCCCACCTTTTTTTGTAATGTAAAGGTCATGGTCTGGGTGTACAGTTCAGAATTTAACATCCACAGCCTAAATCTTCAGTAGATTTCCATTTATGGAAATTGGAATCCTAGAATTGCCAATCTCCTTTTTGTGATGCTAGGGTATTAACAATGCTGATGTACATCATTAGATTGGATGTAGTTTGAATGTCTAACACCTGTGGTTTTTGTTGAAAAATTGCTGAGCCTAGTTTGATGTACTGATTAGCCCAGATTTGGGCTTTAAGTTTTGGGTCAATGTTGCTATCCAAAGGCCTTGATATGCTTCCTTTAGAATTTGCCTGAGTCTCTGTACCCATGTTGCCATCAGCCTGTAGCTGGTTTAACATTTCTTCCAGTGAGAGGTTGTTGTCCTCTGCTGGTGTTGGATCAGCCTGAGTGGTCACTTCTGATATCTGGTTTGATCTCTCACTCTGAGTCTGCACCAGTTTATAGAGTTACTCTGCAATTTCCTTTGCAGATGGGAGGGTAGGTTGGGCTGGGTCAGATGACGGCATTACAACTGTAGGAGACCTCTTCGCGGCTGGGAGTGGTTGGATGACAGTGTTCTTCCTTTTCCGAGTCATCATTCTCCCTGGTGGAAACAAAAACCATTAAATTTACAAATGCTAATTGATTTCATATAGCCATAATTGACTGACCTGCACTGACAGCAAGCTTGTAATAAACCATTACAAAATTAGGACGTCTTGTCATAAAAAAGATAGTTTGGTTTCATTGATTACTTATGAGCTTGTGACATCGCCATGGCATATGACATCCCGACACAATAAACACTGCTCAGATAACTCTCGTTACCCTCCCTCACCTTCCCTCACCTTCCCTCACCCTCCCTCGCAGTTATCAAAATATACTTAGATAACTTCCTGTTATCTCAGTGGTGAGTCATGTGACCATAACCTCCCACCATTACTTTATTTATTTATGAATTTTTTTAATTGATATTGATATGCAAATTATCCTGATTTTCTTTATTTTTTTGCGCAATCTCTGCCAATTTGAAAATTTTGAAAACATGTGGACAGAGTTGACACAATGCCACTTAGAAACATGCAGATAGTACTCTTTGATCTTCTCAAAATTGAATTATTAATATTTAAAATTCAATTATTTTAATTACCTATATTGATGTCCCTGCAACATTACTCCATCTATGCAGTATATGACTGCTCTCTTTATGTTTCCAATATATCTTGGAATTGCAATATGGTTTGTCAAGTGTACTCCATCCCAGGCAAATTCCCTTTGGCTATTCTTGACAATTGCCATTATTTGACAGATTCAGCCTCCCTACACAAAGCTTTTAGGATTTTGTTTGTTTCAACAACCGTCTCATTATAAAGATTGACAGGTATACTGCAGGTTCTTCTGCTTTGTAATGTTTGACATAATATGACCCCTTTTACATTCTAGCCATTAATTAGAAATTCACTGTAAGCAAAAATATGATTGGCTAGTTTTTTGGGAGACAATTGTGTGTCGTCTAAATCATTGTCCCCTATGTGAATAATGCACGCATTTGGCTTAACCTGTATAACCTGCTGTGTGAACATGTTTTTATATTGGCGTAGAGTTCCGGCCGACCTCCCATAATAAACAATATCTAAATCAGGACCAACAATTCCCATGTTCTTGTCACAGCTTGGATTGAACACCAGGAAACGTTCGAGTCACCTTATGAAGGAGTGGCCCAAGATGAGGTTCAGTATGTTGTGCATAGCCTTGATTCCAAGAATAGGGTTATGGCACCAAACACGCTACACGTGACCCTTGTTTCATATGTAGGCCTATAGACTAGCTAGGGGACCACGAGACAAACAGGTATTATAATAGCTATAGGTACGATTCCCTACCTGATATACCGTGTTACTCTACCTGTCAGTCGCAGACAACAAAACGGCTTTGCAGCAATACCCAAATTCAATTTTTCCTTCTGAAATTTTTCCTTCCGAAAGTATGCCACTCTGCAAGGGTTTTCCTGTTACTGAAGGAATGAAAGGAAGACAACTCCGAGTGAACAGTGTGTTGACGGCCTCAAGGGTGCAATACCCCATTTCACCTTACCTGTCTAATGAAGTGGCACAATGTACCCAGTTTACCGTAAAATATTTTATTTGCAATAAAATGTTATATATTTCCATAATACCTGAGCATATTTCAACCTATTTAGAAAATTGATTAGACTTCAGGGGACTGCAGGGTGAGGCTGAAATCTTGCTTTTCAATGCTGGTGTTCCATAATGTCCATGTGGGTCTCAACCAAATTTTGCAAGAGAAATCAACTGAGGAGGGCAATAATTTCTTAAATGAATGATTTGATTTTCAGATGATTGTTAATGCCCATGGACCTCTTGTTTTGTCTGTGAATAACATTAATATATTATATGGATTTTTGCAGACTTCTGGCCTTTGATACTTCTGTCACAGACACAATTGGTGTGCAAATACTTCTGTGTATGTTTATGCCGGGGTTTTCCTGAAATCTTTTGCACATATTGTGCATTATTACATCACCTGGTCTGAAGGATAGATAAGCTTATGCCATACTATGTTTCTTAAAAACAGTTTCTCATCACAAACGCCTAAACTGATTTTGAGCATATTTGGTCAGAAGCATCCTTAGGGGATATGAATCAGTTTTGTGTAAATCGTTTTTTTTTTTAAAAAAAAAAAAAAAAAAAAAAAAAACAAATTTTGCAAATTATTTGAAATACTTCTGTAGGAATGCCTGGCTCAGGCCCATGAGGGGAAATAGAGCAACATTTTATTGCTATTGTGCTTTATCTGTCATCCTGCACCATCTGCTTTCTGTAAATTTTACTTTTAAAACACTACTCCTGCTAAAAACCTCGGCAGATTTCAACCAAATTTAGTCTAAAACATTATGGGAGGTCAGTAATCATTTCTTAAACACTGAAAGTTGATCTTATCTGTGACCTATGGACAGGACCCCAAAACAGGAAGTTAGACAATAGTTTGCTTTAAAATGCTACTCTTCCTTTATACTTAAAAGGTTTTCTTCCAAATTTGGCTGAAACATTATTAGGGAATGGCAATGATATCAAACATGCAAAAGTGATTCCTAGATGGTCCCAACCAAATGAAATTGTTGGGTTTGATCTAAAATCCAACATAACACATCATGACAAATTTTTTGATCTACTGAACCATTTTCATGTATATCAATGGGAAAAAAATTTGGAGTTTATTAAGGAAGAGAAACACATGATGTTTTGTTATTTTCAGCCTGGTCAGCCACAGTAGCCACTTTGTAACATGATTGTGCATCTGCTTTTTATGAACAACACTTATCATGTATAAGTTTCTGATACTTTCTAGAAATGTTCAACATTTGAATTCACAAGATTTGTTAAACCACCAACAGCACATGCTGGGCTGTTCAGTAGGCCCCAATAGGAGAAATAAAGCTAATCCTTAAAATCCTTTTTATTAGTAATATCAGGATACTGTCCCACTTTGGTCTGAAGAATGACAGAGGAATTAAATTAGTGTAAATGGTGGGTCCTAATCCCCTGGGGCAGGAGGGGCACAACCCAATAGGGAAAATTAAGCAAATTCTTCAAAATTATTCTTCCGTTGGAATGTAAGGAGTCTGTGCCAGTATGGTCTGATACATCCTTGAGGAAAGCGATTCAGTTTTGTATAGATGTTGTATCCGACTACTATGAAGCCTGGAGCCAGGGCTGGGCATAGAAGGTGAAATTTAGCAAATTCTTTAAAAACCTTCTGCCTAAGAGCCTGGGATTCAGATTTCACTTGCCATTTTATCTTTATTTCAGGCTCAACTGCTGAAAAAGTAGCCAGACAAATAGCTGTGGAAAGGTATGTAAAATAATAAACAGTAGATGTGTGCCACCTCATCACATCATGTGTTCCACCTCCTCACATCACATGTTCCACCTCCTCACATCATGTGTTCCACCTCATCACATCATGTGTTCCACCTTCTCACATCATGTGTTCCACCTCCTCACATCATGTGTTCCACCTCCTCCCATCATGTGTTCCACCTCCTCACAATATGTGTTCTACCTCATCACATGTGTCACCCCATCACATCATTTGTGCCACTAATCACATCATTTGTGCCACCCCATTATTTCATATATATTACCTTATCACATCATGTGTGCCACCTCATCACAACATATATACTACCTTATCACATCATGTGTGCCACCTCTTTATAACATGTGAGCCATATTACCATGTCATGAATGAAACCAGAGTTGTTATTAGATGGTAGTATTAGAGAATGACAAGTACATTAAATGTGTAATGTGTAATTACACTGGAGCTCATAATATGAAAGTGAGTTTAGTTATGTAATGTGCATTTTATATAAACTAGGTATTTGAACTAATGAAACTTTGTGTGTACAGTGGTATATTAAGAGAATATGCAGGATACCATATTCATGGCATGTAAGTGTATATAATTATGAGGTGATAACAGTGTGAGTGTAAGTGTATGTAATTATGATGTGATGACAGTGAGAGTGGAGGTGTATATAATTATGATGTGATGACAGTGTGAGTGTGAGTGTATATAATTATGATGTGATGACAGTGAGAGTGGAGGTGTATATAATTATGATGTGATGACATTGTGAGTATATAATTATGATGTGATGACAGTGTGTAAATGTATATAATTATGATGTGATGACAGTGTGTAAATGTATATAATTATGATGTGATGACAGTGTGTAAATGTATATAATTATGATGTGATGACAGTGTGTAAATGTATATAATTATGATGTGATGACAGTGTGTAAGTGTATATAATTATGATGTGATGACAGTGTGTAAGTGTATATAATTATGATGTGATGACAGTGTGTAAGTGTATATAATTATGATGTGATGACAGTGTGTAAATGTATATAATTATGATGTGATGACAGTGTGTAAGTGTATATAATTATGATGTGATGACAGTGTGTAAGTGTATATAATTATGATGTGATGACAGTGTGTAAGTGTATATAATTATGATGTGATGACAGTGTGTAAGTGTATATAATTATGATGTGATGACAGTGTGTAAATGTATGATTATGTGTGTGACAGTGTATGTATAATTATGATGTGATGACAGTGTGTAAATGTATATGATTATGATGTGCTGACAGTGTAAATGTATATAATTATGATGTGATGACAGTGTGTAAATGTATATAATTATGATGTGATGACAGTGTGTAAATGTATATGATTATGATGTGATGACAGTGTGTAAGTGTATATAATTATGATGTGTGATGACAGTGTGTAAATGTATATAATTATGATGTGATGACAGTGTGTAAATGTATATAATTATGATGTGATGACAGTGTGTAAATGTATATAATTATGATGTGATGACATTGTGAGTATATAATTATGATGTGATGACAGTGTGTAAATATATATAATTATGATGTGATGACAGTGTGTAAGTGTATATAATTATGATGTGATGACAGTGTGTAAATGTATATAATTATGATGTGATGACAGTGTGTAATTGTATATAATTATGATGTGATGACAGTGTGTAAATGTATATAATTATGATGTGATGACAGTGTGTAAATGTATATAATTATGATGTGATGACAGTGTGTAAATGTATATAATTATGATGTGATGACAGTGTGTAAATGTATATAATTATGATGTGATGACAGTGTGTAAATGTATATAATTATGATGTGATGACAGTGTGTAATATAATTATGATGTGATGTATATATAATTATGATGTGATGACAGTATGAGTATATAATTATGATGTGATGACAGTGTGTAAATGTATATAATTATGATATGATGACAGTATGAGTATATAATTATGATGTGATGACAGTGTGTAAATGTACATAATTATGATGTGATGACAGTGTGTAAATGTATATAATTATGATGTGATGACAGTGTGTAAATGTACATAATTATGATGTGATGACAGTGTGTAAGTGTATATAATTATGATGTGATGACAGTGTGTAAATGTATATAATTATGATGTGATGACAGTGTGTAAATGTATATAATTATGAATATAATTATGATGTGATGACAGTGTGTAAATGTATATAATTATGATGTGATGACAGTGTGTAAATGTATATAATTATGATGTGATGACAGTGTGTAAATGTATATAATTATGATGTGATGACAGTGTGTAAATGTATATAATTATGATGTGATGACAGTGTGTAAGTGTATATAATTATGATGTGATGACAGTGTGTAAATGTATATAATTATGATGTGATGACAGTGAGAGTGGAGGCGTATATAATTATGATGTGATGACAGTGTGTAAATGTATATAATTATGATGTGATGACAGTGTGTAAGTGTATATAATTATGATGTGATGACAGTGTGTAAATGTATATAATTATGATGTGATGACAGTGTGTAAATGTATATAATTATGATGTGATGACAGTGTGTAAATGTACATAATTATGATGTGATGACAGTGTGTAAGTGTATGACAGTAATTATAATTATGATGTGATGACAGTGTGTAAATGTATATAATTATGATGTGATGACAGTGTGTAAATGTATATAATTATGATGTGATGACAGTGTGTAAATGTATATAATTATGATGTGATGACAGTGTGTAAATGTATATAATTATGATGTGATGACAGTGTGTAAATGTATATAATTATGATGTGATGACAGTGTGTAAATGTATATAATTATGATGTGATGACAGTGTGTAAATGTATATAATTATGATGTGATGACAGTGTGTAAGTGTATATAATTATGATGTGATGACAGTGTGTAAATGTATATAATTATGATGTGATGACAGTGTGTAAATGTATATAATTATGATGTGATGACAGTGTGTAAGTGTATATAATGTATGTGATGACAGTGTGTAAATGTATATAATTATGATGTGATGACAGTGTGTAAATGTATATAATTATGATGTGATGATGATGTATATATAATTATGATGTGATGACAGTGTGTAAATGTATATAATTATGATGTGATGACAGTGTGTAAATGTATATAATTATGATGTGCTGACAGTGTGTAAATGTATATAATTATGATGTGATGACAGTGTGTAAATGTATATAATTATGATGTGATGACAGTGTGTAAATGTATATAATTATGATGTGATGACAGTGTGTAAATGTATATGTATATAATTATGATGTGATGACAGTGTGTAAATGTATATAATTATGATGTGATGACAGTGTGTAATAATGTATATAATGTGTATGTATATGATGATGACAGTGTGTAAATGTATATAATTATGATGTGATGACAGTGTGTAATGACAGTGTGTATATAATTATGATGTGATGACAGTGTGTAAATGTATATAATTATGATGTGATGACAGTGTGTAAATGTATATAATTATGATGTGATGACAGTGTGTAAATGTATATAATTATGATGTGATGACAGTATGAGTATATAATTATGATGTGATGACAGTGTGTAAATGTATATAATTATGATGTGATGACAGTGTGTAAATGTATATAATTATGATGTGATGACAGTGTGTAAATGTATATAATTATGATGTGATGACAGTGTGTAAATGTATATAATTATGATGTGATGACAGTGTGTAAATGTATATAATTATGATGTGATGACAGTGTGTAAATGTATATAATTATGATGTGATGACAGTGTGTAAATGTATATAATTATGATGTGATGACAGTGTGTAAATGTATATAATTATGATGTGATGACAGTGTGTATATAATTATGATGTATATAATTATGATGTGATGACAGTGTGTAAATGTATATAATTATGATGTGATGACAGTGTGTAACTGTCTTTAATGATGGTGTGAGGACAGTGTGTATATGTATATAATTATGATGTGATGACAGTGTGTAAATGTATATAATTATGATGTGATGACAGTGTGTAATTTTATATAATTATGATGTGATGACAGTGTGTAAATGTATATAATTATGATGTGATGACAGTGTGTAAATGTATATAATTATGATGTGATGACAGTGTGTAAATGTATATAATTATGATGTGATGACAGTGTGTAAATGTATATAATTATGATGTGATGACAGTGTGTAAATGTATATAATTATGATGTGATGACAGTGTGTAAATGTATATAAATGTATTATGATGTGATGACAGTGTGTAAATGTATATAATTATGATGTGATGACAGTGTGTAAATTTATATAATTATGATGTGATGACAGTGTGTAAGTGTATATAATTATGATGTGATGACAGTGTGTAAGTGTATATAATTATGATGTGATGACAGTGTGTAAATGTATATGATTATGATGTGCTGACAGTGTGTAAATGTATATAATTATGATGTGATGACAGTGTGTAAATGTATATGATTATGATGTGATGACAGTGTGTAAGTGTATATAATTATGATGTGATGACAGTGTGTAAGTGTATATAATTATGATGTGATGACAGTGTGTAAATGTATATAATTATGATGTGATGACAGTGTGTAAATGTATATAATTATGATGTGATGACAGTGTGTAAATGTATATAATTATGATGTGATGACAGTGTGTAAATGTATATGTATATGATTATGATGTGTAAATGTATATAATTAGTGTGTGACAGTGTGTAATATATTATTATGATGTGATGACAGTGTGTAAATGTATATAATTATGATGTGATGACAGTGTGTAAATGTATATAATTATGATGTGATGACAGTGTGTAAATGTATATAATTATGATGTGATGACAGTGTGTAAATGTATATAATTATGATGTGATGACAGTGTGTAAATGTATATAATTATGATGTGATGACAGTGTGTAAGTGTATATAATTATGATGTGATGACAGTGTGTAAATGTATATAATTATGATGTGCTGACAGTGTGTAAATGTATATAATTATGATGTGATGACAGTGTGTAAGTGTATATAGTTTTATTTTAAGATAAATATTATAATAAAATAGAAATAATAACCCCATGTCGATAATTAAGAACTGAAACAATATTACTCAAAATTTATCATGCATATAAGGATAGTTTAAGACAGTTGATTGTTATAACTAACCCCCTTCCCCAACCAGCAAAGAAGGTAGGGGGTGTACTGGAAACAGCTTGTCAATTTGTCAGTGCCTTTGGCTTACAGTTCTAGTTACATTTGAATTAATGGTTGTGGTACTGTCTAGCTTCTCTTACAGGAAGTGACAGTGGGTAATTAAGACAACTACATTACAAAAGTCTATTCCTCTTGATAAGTTGATCATAAATCAACCAGATTTACCTTTCACATCCTTAAGCTGTCAGGATGTTACATGTTATATATACCATCCTCTTTGAAGTTTGAATGCAGTATCAGACTTTACAGTATTACATTTATCTAAGTCTGTGATAATATATATGAATATATATACGTTGTAGGTAAGATAATTCTGTATTTCTTATTTCAGACTTGATGGTGTGCCATTCTTAGATATACTTCGCCTTGTCTTCCTCGATGTGTTTGTTCTAATTGTATCTGTCTTGGTGTTTGTTGTGTGTTACAAGCTTTTGGCTCTACAGCCAACAGCAAATGAACAAGAAGAGACATCATCCACAGCTATGGGCACCAAGACAAAAAGGCCAGCTGTCACCACTGTATCAATTCTTGAAGACTTGATCATTACAATTTTATTAGCAACAAGTGGTCTCATAGTCCTATCGGCCATTGGTGCATTTTATGTTCTATCAGCTTTGTATATCATCATCAGGAAGGTATTTTATAAAAGCCTTGGTTCTAAGTTCAGTTACTTTAAGATAGTGATAGTGATATGGAGTGGATTACACTTGCTCCTACTACATCTGTACCAGTTCCAGTTCTTCCAGGAAGCAGTTTCGCCCGAACTTCTTATATCAAGGTACGTTACTTCCCAAACTACTTATATCTGGGTATGTTACATCCCAAACTTCTGATATACAGGTACATTACATCCCAAACTTCTGATATCCAAGCACATTACATCCCAAACTTCTGATATCCAAGTACATTACATCCCAAACTTCTGATATCTAGATACGTTACATCCCAAACTTCTGATATCCAAGCACATTACATCCCAAACTTCTGATATCCAAGTACATTACATCCCAAACTTCTGATATCTAGATACGTTACATCCCAAACTTCTGATATCAAAGCACATTACATCCCAAACTTCTGATATCCAAGTACATTACATCCCAAACTTCTGATATCTAGATACGTTACATCCCAAACTTCTGATATCCAAGCACATTACATCCCAAACTTCTGATATCTAGATATGTTACATCCCAAACTTCTGATATCCAAGCACATTACATCCCAAACTTCTGATATACAGGTACATTACATCCCAAACATCTGATATACAGGTATATTACATCCCAAACTTCTTATATAAAGGTATATCACATCCCAAACTTCTGATATCCAGGTGTGTAACATCCCAAACTTCTGATATAAAGGTACATTACATCCCAAGCTTCTGATATCCAGGTACATTACCTCCCAGACTTCTGATATCCAAGTACATTACATCCCCAGCTTCTGATATCCAGGTACATTACATCCCAAACTTCTGATATCCAGGTGTGTAACATCCCAAACTTCTGATATCCAGGTGTGAAACATCCCAAACTTCTTATATAAAGGTACATCACATCCCAAGCTTCTGATATCCAGGTACATTACATCCCAAACTTCTTATATAAAGGTACATCACATCCCAAGCTTCTGATATCCGAGCACATTACATCCCAAACTTCTGATATCTAGATACGTTACATCCCAAACTTCTGATATCCAAGCACATTACATCCCAAACTTCTGATATCCAAGTACATTACATCCCAAACTTCTGATATCTAGATACGTTACATCCCAAACTTCTGATATCCAAGCACATTACATCCCAAACTTCTGATATACAGGTACATTACATCCCAAACATCTGATATACAGGTATATTACATCCCAAACTTCTGATATACAGGTGTGTAACATCCCAAACTTCTGATATCCAGGTGTGTAACATCCCAAACTTCTGATATCTAGATACATTACATCCCAAGCTTCTGATATCCAGGTACATTACATCCCAAACTTCTGATATCCAAGTGCATTACATCCTAAACTTCTGATATCCAAGTACATTACATCCCAAACTTCTGATATCTAGATACGTTACATCCCAGACTTCTGATATCCAAGTACATTACATCCCCAGCTTCTGATATCCAGGTACATTACATCCCAAACTTCTGATATCCAGGTGTGTAACATCCCAAACTTCTGATATCCAGGTGTGTAACATCCCAAACTTCTTTTTATAAAGGTACATCACATCCCAAGCATCTGATATCCAGGTACATTACATCCCAAACTTCTTATATAAAGGTACATCACATCCCAAGCTTCTGATATCCAGGTACATTACATCCCAAACTTCTGATATACAGGTACATTACATCCCAAACTTCTGATATCCAGGTGTGTAACATCCCAAACTTCTGATATAAAGGTACATTACATCCCAAGCTTCTGATATCTGGGTACATTACATCCCAAGCTTCTGATATCTGGATACAATACATCCCAAACTTCTGATATCCAAGTACATTACATCCCCAGCTTCTGATATCCAGGTACATTACATCCCAAGCTTCTGATATCTGGGTACATTACATCCCAAGCTTCTGATATCTGGGTACATTACATCCCAAGCTTCTGATATACAAGTACATTACATCCCGAACTTCTGATATCCAGGTGTGTAACATCCCAAACTTCTGATATCTAGGTACAGTACATTTGCATTACATGTACACTGTAGTTTAAGTTACCTCACTTTATTAACAAGATTATTTCTATGACATATTACAAGGATAACAACATCATTGTACATCAGATGACAGTGTATACCCTTAGACCTCTTGGTTCCTTAATATTTGGAGATAATGTCTCCAAATTTTAGCTTCAATCTACAGGATTACAGATGTAGTAGTTTGAATCCTTTCGAAAATTCCAGTTTTAGGTTAGCTTATGGATTAATTCATGTTTGGTTTACCTCCTCAGAATCTTGGGTCTGACAGGTGTGATCCAAACCAACTGTTCCCAGCCCTGGACAATAGAATACAATGACTCATACAACTGGCCTCACTTTGTCAATCCCGCCATCATCCTAGTACTTTATGTCACTGTAGCCACCAGTACCAGACAGTGGATCAAGAGAAAGGTCAGTCAAGCAAAATATTTATCTCATCAGGTCCAAGTAACCAAGTATATGCATTCCTTCAACTTTTTTTTTTCTAAAGATTTGCCCTAGCCATAAACGACTATGCAGATTTTGACCAGATTTGGTTAGAAGTATTCTTGAGGTAAGTGATGGGTATCAACCCTCAAGGGCCTGAGGGGCAGGACCAAAAAAAGAAATTCTATAAAAATCTACTCCTTTTGAATGACTGATTGGATTTTGCTCATTTGAAGCATGCTTGTGTGAAGAAAATTTAATTTTGTCTGAACCATGGGTCTCAATCCTGCTAGGACAGTGAGGCAGGGCCAATTGGGAAAATAGAGCAAATTCTTTAAAATACTATTTCTCCTGTAAAAATGATTGGATTTTGCCCATATGTAGTCTGAATATTAACATAACTTGGATGGATTACCATGATATGAATATGTGTAATTATATGTATTAACCATGCAGCAGTTGTATTAATTTGATCTGTATTCTTGGTGATGGGAATAAAGAAGAAGTTTAAGATGGTATGTTTAAGATCAATTTGTTTAAAATCAGCATTTTGAAGGATGATATGTGATGTATATTTATTTTTCCCTTGATGAAATTATCCTTCTTTCTATAATTCATTCATTTCAAGTTAAATGATAGTTACAAGAATTCACTTTAGTTCATGTAGTCTTACATCCTCTACATACGAAATTAACATCAATGCAAATGAAAGTAAGTTTATGTCTCATTTACAACAATATTGTTTCTATATTTCTAGGATACTGATAGGGAAGATCAATATGAGAAATCTTGGATTCTCTATCACATCCTGAACAGATTAATAGGGAGTCCGAACGAGGTAGATTTTGATCGCAAGCAGATGGTTCTATATGAGGATATTTGTAGTGGGGAAAATTCACCAACTCGATTCTTTCAAACAGGAAGTTCGGCTGAGGGAGGGAGCCTTATGTCTGGTTCGGACACCGACGGGATGCATATTGTTAATGATGTCATTGTTTTATTAAGAGATCAGGATATAAGTAATCCATTCCTCGATAAAAATAAAACAGTTTTAGTGATGGGAGATGCAGACAGCAGACCTGGATATGTGACCTTGACATTAGCTCACCTTGGACAAAAAGTTTCAAAGTTTGTCATTGATGCCATTGTTTCAGTTGGGAGAGTACATTTTGTATCAAGTGAACTTTTTAATGAATCCTACAATGAAATATTAAGTCGTAAATTACAATTACCATTCAACACTAATGGTCCAGCGGTAACAATAAACATTGACCACCATAACAAGGTTATTGATGCAGATGTTGTGCTTTCCTTTCAATGTTATAATTGGCCTAAAGAAGCAGATGAGTGGGTGAGTAGGCCTCGATTGCACAGATGGCCTGATAAAACTTTGAGGGACCAGATAGTACGAGGCGGCTGCCAACTTGTCCCTGTAGGAGATAAAACATCTGATGACCCATTCCTACAATGGAGGATTTCATTTGTTACTGCGGAGAGGAAATTAATTTACTCCTTCAGTCATGTTCAATTCCTGGTGTACGGACTTCTCAAGTACTTTTTCAAACAGGTATCTGGAAAGTTGAATCAGGTACAAGGGGATACAGTCATCATATCATCCTACATAATTAAAACTGTTATGTTTCATGCAGTAGAAAGCACAGACATTTCATTTTGGCAGGAGAAACATACATTCCTCTGTTTCATGTTTTGTATAAACATATTGATATTCTGGGTGAGGGCTGGATACTGTCCTAATTATTTTATTAACAGAAACAACATGTTTCTTGGTAAAGTTTATGGTGAAAATCAACAAAAACTAATTTGTTTTTTAGTTGATCATCGCGACATGACATGGAGATGTCTTTCAATAGGTACATTGATGCAACCAACTATTGGAGAGATTATTGATCACGTAGAGAATGGAATAAAAGAAATTATACAACCACCTCCAACAATGACAGAACGGAAGCGTGATATAGCTATATTTCGCCGCACATTGTATCCTCTGGAAGCTACAGTGGTTCTTCCAGCTTTATCTCCACTCTTGTCTCCATCAGAGTCAGATGACGATGAATTCGTTGATGGTGTCAATGGAGCTCAAGTGATGTGTAATATAGGAATGAAGACATTTGGGGAACACGTAGCTGTCAGTGGAAACAAACAGAAATACAAATCTCTCAGGAAATCCAAGAATCTTCTTAAACCACTGGCTTCAATATGTGCAAGTCCAGGGCTACTGACACTGGCAACATATCACTACCTGACTGGAAATTACGTAAAAACGCAGAAAATATGTGAACAGTTAAGTTCATCTGATAAAATTTTTATTTGTTCTGATGTCAACAGAGAGGACAACAAAAAGTATGAAGATCTCTACTGTGGTCGTGGGTACACTCTACTGCAGAAATGCCGCGATGGATGTGTATCATATATCCAGTTTAGTCCTGAGTTTTGTCTGGTGCCATTATACCAGGAATCCATTAAAAATGGAAATCAACATATGATCCCCCCGCTTCCTTATGCCGTGTTCCTGTCGTTTCTGTGTTATCACGAACTCGGAGACATGGAGAAATGTGATGCAGCATTGATGAACCTTCGTGCCGTGAAGAACGACGAGGCCCAGGGAGGCGGTAAACACTGGATAGTCTACAGCTTGTTAGGGATCTGTTATGAAATGATTGGGGATATACCCCGGGCTATCGGGGAATACAGAGATTCTCTTGATATTCAATCGTTAACCCAATACCAAAACCCAGCCAAAGAAAGGATACAACGCTTACAACAGTTTTAGATATAATATCAAAACACAGCCAAAGAGATGATACCACGTTTACAACAGTTATAAAAATAATATCATAACCTGGCCAAAGGGAGGATAGAATCTTTACCACAACTACAGATATAATATCAAAACACAGCCAAAGAGATGATACCACGTTTACAACAGTTATAAAAATAATATCATAACCTAGCCAAAGGGAGGATAGAATCTTTTGGACCGCCAAAATAATGGGTTCTTCTTCTCAAGACCCATATATGTTTCTAGGCCACTAGGCCTCGTGTTCAACGTATTGCAAGATTTGTCTGTTTTGGGATACATGTTAAAAGTTCCTTGCTTTTGTTTAACTGACAGTTCAACAACTGAATAACCAAAACTAATTACTCGAACAATGAAATAGCTTATATCATTTCCAAAAACCTTTACTACATTAGAATCTCTCAGAAACATGGCTTTTATTTCCCCCTCATTTCATGTTTATTTGACTGGTTGCCGTTTAAGTTATATTAATGATATAGATCAAGTGGTATATTAGTATCTTTGTAGGAATTTTTCACAGAAGAAAAGTTTGTTTCATTTATAATTCTGTCTGCCCAAAAAACCTGTTAGTCTTTTTCAATCGTTGTTTAAATTTTGCTGATGAAATCCATCTTGTAATCGTAAGTCAGACACAGGAGTTATAAGCTGTCATTTGGATCTGGTGGTGTAACATTGCTTTCAGCCCGAAGTTCAAAGTATGTGGACATATGAAATTGCAGATTATTTCCCCTGATGATCCGTGATCATCGAATGACGGCAATCCACACGAGTATGTGCAGACAGGTATTCCATTCGTAAAAAGGAGTTAGATCCGCCAGAAGGTGGGATGTTGTCATTGAATCCACCAATCATTCTAAAGTGGGCGGAGCGGTACTTTTTGTTATCATGAAATGAAAAGAAAAATCGACCAATCAGAAACCTGCATTTTGTGTAGAAACAACGAAAACCTTATTACTCTTGTCTGTGAAAAATGTCCCCAACTAAACAAACACTAAGAAAAAAATACTAACAATTTAACATAATGCTAATGTTCGCCATTCTTATAGAGTACAGATCATCGTTCTTCTGGAGTACACATTCATCATTCTAATGGAGTACATGTGCAATCTAATGGAATACAAATGTAGTCAAATGGAGTAGAAATGCATTCTACTGGGGTACATCATTCATCATTGTAATCGAGTACATATTTCATTACAATAGAGTACATACTCATCATTCAGAAGTCAATTTCTTGGCTACTATCGTTGCCTTTTTGCCAAGATGATTACGTTCTATAAGACATTTCAATAATCTGGTTGATCATTAAAATACATTTCAAATATAGGAAAACAGGGTTTTGATTGGTTGAATTTCTGCGGAAGTATATTAGGATCAATGAATAGCGCTAATTTAGATTAAGATACTGTTCAACCAAACTATGAATTAAACTGAATTATACAGCTGCTTCGTCCTTCTTAGTCTCGGCATTGATGCCTTATTTTTTAAAGCATAAGAGGCGACGAAGGAAAATCATCCAGTGTGATCAAAAAAAGAAGCCGGGGGGGGGGGGGGGGGGGGGGGGGGGGGGGGGGGGGGGGGGGCAGCAGCAGCCCCACAATTAGATAAATTTCGTTATTTCATGTATTTAAGATCAACGTCAAGTACATGTGTATTTTCTGAACCGTGCCACCTTTCGAATGAATTAAAATGTGGCAAACATGTTACGGCAAACATCGGGGACTTATTTTAGATATTATTCAGTGGCAGCCTCATAGTTTTTTGGCGGTTCGCCACTTAAACATGATAGATTTTGAAGCAATATAATCATTTTGATGCATTGAAAGTGTTAGCTTACATGTTCCCGAACACTTCACCCTGGCGGTTGGCAGATAATTAGAAAACGGCCACCAGATATCTAAGTGGTGTCTGACAGATAATTAGAAGGCAGTCACCAGTTATCTAAGTGGCGGCTGGCAGATAATTAGACAACGGCCACCAGATATCTAAGTGGTGGCTGGCAGATAATTAGAAGACTGCCGCTGAATATTTAAGAGTCGACCGCCAGATATTCATGTTGTAGCTGCCAAATTTGTATGTAGACGGCCGCTAGATAAGATATTTTTGCATTTAAGAAAAAAAATTATATACGAATCTAAAACGGTAAAACATGACTTAATGTAACCATACTTTCCAAGGTCCAACTCTTAACTAAGTACAAGGTATATCAAAATGTTTACATAATGCAGTTGATTGGACGTGACAGCTGCCAATCAATATAAACAAGAAATAGAATATTTTTATCAATGATATTACTATGATGACCGGAAAAACTTCTCCATAATTTTCATCATCCAGCTTCATTTGAAAGTCTATGGTATGAGTTTGTCGGCCAGTTGACGACTTCTTGCACGAAAATTGTGATATTGGGAACAGGCCCTTCAATATCGAATCAACTGCGACATGTAAGTACCATAGGTTGTGGATGTAGGGAAATTGCTACCCAGAAATGAAAAATTCAAATTAGGAAAATAGAAATGTCACTCTGATTATACAGCTTTGTGGAAAGCTGCCCCTGTTGGTTTCGTTGTAGGATAAGATAAATAATCTCTGGTTATTTAAAGACATGCTATCATCAATATATCTGAAAGTGAAAGTGAGGGACTTTGCAAGGTCTGTGTTCTGATAAGCCCTTCGATAAATTCAGTGTCGGGTGGAAAACAAAAACAGAGCCAACAGAGGGACACAGTTCCCACAGGTAGGACAATAGTCCATTGGATGATCTTACCACCACACTCGACAAAGATGTTGTCAACCAGAAACTTTATCATTTAATGCTCTCCTCCGTATACATGTTTGATTTTGGCGTTATTTTTACCAAATACACTTCAGTATAGTTCACAACTATAAATTTATAACGCCGTTCCACCTTTCTTGGAGGATTAAGCTCTCGTAACAAGAGAACGAAGGCGTTCTCTCGGTTATAGGGATGGTGGTGTACAGATCAAGTTGATGATATATACCAAATGGTTAACCATTGGAAGATTGACATCAAACTGTATAGATGTAATGCTGTATTTCCAAAATAAGGCTACACGTGTTGTATTCTATCTTTGGAAATAAAAGGTGATGTTATAATTCATCACAAAGTTGTTTTTTATTTATTTATTTTATTGATTTATTGATTTTCTATTTACAGACAAATAAATATCTAGATTCAATTTCACTATTAATGATTCTATAGAAAGTCGAACACGAAATGGGTCCTTATCGCCTTCTAATAAAAAGTTATATAAAAAATAGTATAAAATTCTGTTAATGCTTTTTAGAAAGCAGTCCCGAATCTTTAGAATATACGTAATCAATTATCATCATCATCATCATCATTATTATAACAATCTTAACGGCCCGTCAACACATAAAAGGTCAGTGAGGTCAACAACTGGTGAAACACACAGATATCCAAAAAAAAATCACACCAAACAAACTAAAAGGTAAAAGACAAATGCTAAAAATAGTTATATACAAACAAAAGATTAATATTCGCGATCTGATTGCTTAACGCACTTGTGGGAAATCTATATGTCGATGCAATTTTATTCAAATTTAGATTATTTTACTGAACTCTTCTTGATTTCTTCATACCAATACTGGACAGTGTTTACTTATACAATACAATAGTGTTCTTGTCCAGACGTCATATAAGTGACACAATGGGAATATAGCTCAACTTGTGTTTTTGGTATTTCTGTGTTGCCTCCCTTGACCCAGTAGAAAAATGTTGACTATGTAATTTGAACTTCATTGCCAGCTGATTCAGAAACCATCTGTATTTAAACATTTCTTTCGACGAATTAGATTTTCTTGGAGGCTTTATGTTTCAGGCCCTTGAATGTATGATGCAGTTTGCTTCATGATTAAGCTTTGTATTTAGAAATACTATTCAATTGTGTCATTTTAAATATTTCTACCACAAGCATGCTGCCGTTTTCAATCAGGAACCAAAACTGAACAAAACACATCAAAAGTCAAGTCTGTATTTTTTCCTTTAATTATCTATAGATAATAACAGCATTCCATCGAGGCGTATCACATGTATAACTTAATAAGGGAAAAACACGTCTACAGAAAAAAACAATATCGAAATAAATCCGTCATATCCTATATTTTATTTCAAAGATTTTTATTATCACGAGTGCGGAATATATTCGTCGCAAAAACCCAGGTAAATTAAATAAAATCCTACGTATCACCTGTACCCTTCATCTACTTTAAAATCATACTGATCTCGGTAAATCAATTACCACTTTCTTTACGTTGATAAGGCAACAGATAATGATTTATCCTGGAGCTGAACTGTCGAGCAGTTTCTGAAAATGTTGAAATTTTGGAGGCGACTGACGAATATCAAACGTATTGGCAGAAATTGTAGATACAATAGAGCCTTATAGTGAATCTACTGCGCTATACAGCTGATTCGTCCTTCTAGGAGTCGTCAGTGATGCTACTGTAACAAAATAGGGCTTAGCGTAACACATCTGGTTGAAATAAGTTCGCTTAAACAATAGTTCGTTTAATGTTCAATAGTATATCAATAAAAACACATATAGGTAGTTCACAGGGGTGTGGATAATTACTTGGATATATACACTTAGGTTGGTGTAATCTGGGCCCCAAGAATCTTATCACTGGGTGTACAGCTTTGGCCAGTTAATTAATTAGAGACTATCCCCACTTCCTTGATAATTAAATTTATGTAATTTACCGTGCGGACAGCCACATAGTGGTGGAGTAATTATTAGGGCCTATTACAAGTAACAAATTTGCAGGAGGAATCTCAACTTTGCACCTCGAGTACAGGTGGCTATACTTTAACAATTGTATCATCTAGTAACAAGTGAAGTCCATATAAGGGGATAGCGGGACAGAATCGGTCAAGAGGAGATAAATAGAAGCTAGATTCTGGGAATAGGGGAGAAGGGTTTGGACACCCGACTGCACGGTCAGAGACAGCCTTGGGGAAGCCCACCAGGTTGACAGTTCTGATACGAGACACAATGTGAAGTACTAGTATATGAACTCTGAATGTTGATAAGATGTTGCTTTTGTACATGTAACATTATTATTATTCAACATGTAATAAACATGGCTATTACCAACAAGTACGTGTGATTACGCCCACTGTGTTACAGCTACACCATACAGCAGTTTCGTCCTTCTAGGAGTCGTCAGTGATGCTACATCATACAGCTGTTTCGTCCTTCTAGGAGTAGTCGGTGATGCTACATCATACAGCTGTTTCGTCCTTCTAGAATTCATAAGTGATGCTACATCATATAGCTATTTCGTAATTCTAGAATTCGTCAGAGATGATATATCATACAATTAATTTATCCTTCTAAGACAACTCAGTGATGGTACATCATACAGCTATTTCGTCCTTCTAGGAGTCGTCAGTGATGATACATCATACAGCTATTTCGTCCTTCTAGGAGTCGTCAGTGATGATACATCAGGAAGGCCAGACCAGAGAAAAAATGTACAGAGACAGGAGTCAAAACAGTAACAAAAAGATAGGTCAGAACAGAGACAGTAACAAACAGATAGGTCAGAACAGAGCAGTAACAAACAGATAGGTCAGAACAGAGACAGTAACAAACAGGTAGGTCAGAACAGAGACAGTAACAAACAGATAGGTCAGAACAGAGACAGTAACAAACAGGTCAGAACAGAGACAGTAACAAACAGATAGGTCAGAACAGAGACAGTAACAAACAGATAGGTCAGAACAGAGACAGTAGCAAACAGATAGGTCAGAACAGAGACAGTAGCAAACAGATAGGTCAGAACAGAGACAGTAGCAAACAGATAGGTCAGAACAGAGACAGTAGCAAACAGATAGGTCAGAACAGAGACAGTAGCAAACAGATAGTTTAGAACAGAGCCAATTTTGTACGTAGCCAAGAGAAACAGATAGGTGGGGACAGAAATAGTTTGTAAGGAGCCGTAATATGCTTGATTATTTTCCGAAGTATATCCGTTACCAGGTATTAGTCTCTGCTTGGTGTTTCCGGAACTGACGGCTTTCATACTGACAACATAGCTAGATTTTTCGATGTAAACTTTAAGCAGCCAGCTTAATTTTTAATTCATACTTTCTTTAATGACTGGAATCAGTTGCACTATCGTGCTGATTCCACAATAGCATGAATTATAATGAAAGAACAGCATTGTATTTTGCTACACGGATTTTACGACATGTGTAGCATAAGCAAGTGACATTTAAAATCGACCCTTGGATCCCCTTTATTCTCTCAGGTAAGTGTATATAAATATAAAACGCATTTGTTTGTTGAGGTTATGAGCACGTAATGTTAAATATTCTAGTTGTATCTTCACTTATTTACCTAATTTACAATAACGCGTGTCGCTATAGATTTTAGGTTTAACGTGTATATGTAGCATCAGGTAACCTGTGACGACGGCATTTCACAACAGGGCGTAGTGGTTCAGACAGGTTTCCGATAATAGGGTCACTTCACTACGTGGTATGGAAGAGTCGTCTGCTAGATTTTTATCGTATATATTTACCTGACATTACTTTACGAGGACTTTAGTATATCTTATACTCAGAACTTCAAAAATCGGACAAGAAAAGTAATATGTTCGCTTGACCACGTTTTAAATACTGGACGCGGGTAGCTTCATATAGGGTGTGTACCTTAAAACTAAATATCCATAACACCTGCTGGTATACAGGTAGCTCCATATTACCATATTTACCTTACTAAGTAATGTTCATAACACCTGCTGGTATACAGGTAGTTCCATATTACCATATTTGCCTTACTAAGTAATGTTCATAACACCTACTGTAACAAACGTAGATAAATATTACTGTATAAAACATGAACTAATGTTCAGGCAGCGTCATAACAAAATGATCAAAATAGACGGGCGCGACCTTTACTGGTAACGCTTTCAAATTTGGATATAAAGAAAGTGATTTTTAAGAATATTAAAAACATCGGCAACGATCCTTCGTTCACGGGATACAGAATTAGTAAAACAGGAAAGGGAGCATGAAAAGGCGATGTGGGAAAAGGCTAAAGAAAAACAAAGCCAGGATACGTCGGGGGAATACTTGTACAAAGTACGGGGACCACCCTGGGCGAGGAAAATTGTAAAATTAAAGGCTGCCAAAACCGGAAACTCCGAATAAGTGAGACACAGACCATATCAACTAACCAATCAGTCTATGTTAAACCAGAATCTTCAAGCTCTCAAATAGTAATGACAACATCTCCAAAAGTAGATTAAATGCCACACAGGACATCTTTAAAAGTATTGAATGTATGTATACTAATGCCGATAGTCTAACAAATAAAATAACTTAAAACGAGAATTAATTCAGCTCAGAAGTATATTGGTGTTGTTGGGTTACTGAAGTTTTTCCTAAAATAGGAGGTTTCTTCCCAGTAAAGCAGAACTTACAATTCCTGGTTACGACATTTTCATAAACGATGAGTCTGAACAGTGTAAGAGAGGAGTAGCACTTTATGCAGCAGTGGAAGTTAAATTCAATGAAAAATTTAAAGAAAGTATATGGGTAAAGGTAAAGCTCACGGAATCGGATTATCTTTTAGTTGGATGCGTATACCGGAGTCCAAATAGCGATAAAGACAACACGGGATTACTTCTAGAGCTTCTAAATAGCGCAACCACGAAAGACAAAGGTTACTCACATATTATGATAATGGGAGACTTTAACTTTCCAAAAATAAATTGGCAGTCTTGGAATACGACATCAGATGAAGGGAGTGAAGATTTTAAAGAAAACTTAAGAGTCAACTATTTATTCCAACATGTAGTCAATAATACAAGAAGGAGAATCGGGAGTGAACCTAGTACTCTAGATCTGATTATAACTAATGAAGAAGAAATGGTCAAGGATATTAAATATAACAGTCCCCTGGGTCACAGTGACCATGCGGTACTCGAATACAGCTTTGTTTGCTATGGAAACAGCATACGGTTTACTACACCAATTAAACAGCCCAATTATAAAAAGGCAGACTTTCCGAGTATGATGAAGGATATGAAAATCAGTTGGCAAAACGTACTAAACGGAGATCATAATGACATGTATGATTAATTCCTGGAAATTATATCTGGGAGCGTATCAAAACACGTTCCAATCTCAAGTCGTGGCAAGGCAAGTACAAGCTATCCACTTGAAAAGTCTTGTTGAGAAGATAAAGAAAAAAACATAGACTGTGGCAAAGATACATGGAAACAAAAGATGAAGATAAGTACAGAAATTATACCAAATGCCGTAACCAAGTGAAAAACGAGTTGAGAAAAGCAAGGAAAGTTATGGAGAGGGGGACATTTCCATTGATGCTAAACAAAACCCTAAGATATTTTGGAAATATGAGATATAGAAGAAGAAAGAGTAAAAAAGGAATTGTTAATGTTAAATCCAAGTAAATCGCAGGGCCCCGATAAAATACACCCCAAACTTTTAAAGGAATTAGCCAATTCAATATGTAAACCGTTCACAACTATTTTCAATGCATCCCTTCACCAAGGGACCGTTCCTCATTCATGGTAAACTGCAAATATAACGGCCATATTTAAAAAGGGCGATCGCTCAGACCATGCAAACTATAGACCAGTCAGTCTAACAAGTGTTGTCTGTAAAATAATGAAAAGATTAATTCGAAGCAAGATGATACTACATACGGAGGAAAAAATATTAAGTGATAATCAATTTGGAGTTTCGTCTGGGAGGTCAACATTGCTACAACTACTGAAAGTCATGGATGAATAGACTACAATTTTAGATAATGGCGGAGAATTGGATATAGTGTGCATGGACTTTATGAAGGCGTTTGATAAAGTTCCACAAAAACATCTAAACAAACTCCGAGGTTATGGTTTTAACACTCAGTTAGTTGGATGGATTGAAAGTTTTTTAACAGATCGGAAACATAGAGTTATTGTAAACGGTACACCATCAGCACAGCACAAAGTTATTAGCGGAATACCCCTAGGGAGCGTACTAGGTCCGATACTTTTCGTCATATATATTAACGATCTACCGGAATGCACATCTTTACCAACCTACATGTTTGCGGATGACACTAAACTATATAGAACAATATCGGATGGTAACGATGAGCACTTACTCCAAGAAGATCTCTGTAATTTGATGAAGTGGTCGGATAAGTGGTTATTACGATTCCATCCAAATAAATGTAAAGTTATGATTGTGTCAACAAAACATAAAAAGAGAATCGCAATATCATATAACAATGAAGGTAAAATCATAACATTGGAAACCATTGCATTGGAAAAAGACCTGGGAGTTGTGGTAGATCAAGATTTAAGTTTTACAACACATATCCAACAAGCAATAAATAAAGCTAATAGAATTGTAGGTGTCATAAGAAGATCATTTGTTTATTTTGACGAAAAATATGTTCAGGAATTTGTTTAAAGCTCTAGTACGACCGCACCTAGAGTACGGGGCAAGTGTTTGGTCCCCACACAGAATTAAGGACATCGAACGGTAGAAAACGTCCAGAGGAGATCGACAAAACAACTACCAGAATTTAATACAACTTTAAGCTACAATGAGAGGCTACGCCGTTTGAATCCCCCAACCTTGATATACAGGCGTCTACCTGGAGATATGATAAATGTGTTTAAGTTCATGAATGGGATATTTGATCCAAAGCTGGTGGAGGGAATGTTCGACCCTGCAGCGCAAGGAAAAACTCGTGGACATAGTAAAAATTATTTAAAAAACATTGTCATTTGAATGTCAGAAAACATTACTTTACTCAAAGAATAATTGATACTTGGAATAGTCTCCCTCAATGGTTAATTTCATCACTTAATGTTCATGATTTTGAAAAACACGTAGACGATTTCTGGAAAGATCTTGAACTGAAGTACGATCATACAGCGTCTGATATCCAGTCTAATATTATGTTTATATTAATACATTGTATTGATGTGAATACAGAGGCAGAAATGCCTGCGTTCACTATTATCCTATTAAATCCTATTTAAAAAATCCTATTGAATAACAAGTTCTTATTTTTCTTAGTCGCCTCTTGGGTCTTACGATTTAGGTCCTTAGTATTATTGACAAGTCTTTGAAAGACAGCTGTATGACACAGTTTATTGTTCGGATGTATTGCATCTAATTCTAAATTTGTGAAAGTGTTATTCACTTTTGTGTTTTTATGTAAATGTTTTAATAACATTTTTTATCAGTAAAAAGTAGACTATTATTAGTGCCACATTCACAATAATAAAACATTCTTACACCTTTCCAGGATCTGCGAAATTAAACTGATATGGCTGATCAAGGGGAACTGTATGAGAAGTCTTGGATTCTTCGGCACGTTCTAGACTGGTACATAGAGTCTCAGGAGACAGTAGCAATAGTAAGAAAGCTGAAACTTTTATCTGAGAAAATCGAAAATTCCAAAAGAAAACCGACGCAGTTGTTTTATACTGGCAGTGGTGGTGAGGGATCAACTGTTTTAGGCTCGGATACAGACATGATGTTTGCATATAGAGATGTCATAGTTTTATATCCAGGTCAAGCTGAATGGAATCCATCGGAAAGTAGCAATGAAACTATTTTGATAATGAGAGATGCTGACAGCAGACCAGGCTATGTAACTCTAGAATTACTTCATCTTGGAAAAAAGGCTCCAAAATGTTTGATCAAAGCAGTTTGTCAGCAAAGTGATAAAAAGTTTATATCAAGCGAAATATTCACCCAGTCGTGTACAGAAGAAATGGATGGCATCTTTCAGTTACAAATGGAATCCCATGGACCAGCTGCTACAATTAGAGATGAGCACAGCAATACACATTTTGATGCAGATACGGTGCTTGCTTTCTCGTTCCATAACTGGCCTAAGGAAGCAGAGGAATGGGTATGTAGGCCTCGCTTCCATAACTGGCCGGATAAAACTTTGATGGACCAGATAGTACAAGGTGGCTGCCATATTGTTCCTGTAGGAGATAAAACGTCTGATGACCCATTCCTACAATGGAGGATTTCTTTCGTAATCGCAGAGAGGAAATTAATTCATTCCCTCAATCATGTCCAATTTTTAGTTTACGGACTTTTCAAATGTGTCCTGAAACAAATTTCTGAAATGTTAAAACAGTTGCTAGGGAACACAGAAATCCTGTCGTCCTATATTGTAAAAACTGTTATATTACACGCTGTGGAAAACACGCCTGAATCACTATGGCAGGAAAAACACACATTCCTCTGTTTCATGTTCTGTTTAAACACGCTAATATCCTGGGTGAAGGCAGGATACTGTCCGAATTACTTCATCACCAACAACAATATGTTCCTCGGCAAAGTTCATGGTCAAAATCAAACAAAACTTGTCCGCTTTCTTATCGATTTCCATGACATGAAATGGAGCTGTCTGTCAGTGGGGACTTTTCTGCAGCCAACAATAGGAGAGATTGTTGACGATGTTTGTAACGGAGGATGGGAAATAATAACGCCTTCTCCAACAGATTGTGATAGTGATGTTCACATCATTGGGATCGCGTTAAAACCAACATACCCAGCGGATCTACTTTCCGTGTTTCAACCACTATTATCAGAATCAGAATCAGAATCGGATACTGATGAATTCCTGGATTGTGCACTTGCAGCACGAGTGATGTGGTTTTGGGGAATGGTATTATTTGAGAAACACACTGCAGTGAGGGGAAACAAACAGAAGTACAAATATCTTCGAAAATGCAGAAATCTACTTTCACCGTTTGCCTCCATTTGTAAAAGTCCAGGATCATTGATGCTAGCCACATATTACTACCAGATTGGGAATTACATGAAAGCACTTGAGTTATGTGGAAATCTGATATCGTCACCTCACGTTTTTCTTGGTCTTGGTACATATCTAAATGGTATGGAGAGGTATGAAGACCTCTATTGTGGGCGTGGCTATACTTTAATTCAGAAATCCCGAGAGGTATTTTTATCAAATATCGTGTTCATGCCAAATGCTCCGCACTTCTGTCCGCCTCAATTACACGAGGAAGTCGCAAAAGATGGCAAATCATTGTTCAATTTCATTCCTCCGCTCCCCTATGCGGTATTCCTCTCTTTTCTTTGTTACCATGAACTTGGTGACATCCGGAGACGTGATATAGCAATGAGAAATCTTCGGGCCGTGAAATATGACAGAGAACAAGGGGTTGGTCAATACTGGATTGTGCACAATTTTTTGGGGATATGCTATGAAATAATGAGGGATAAAGGGAAGGCACTCAGGGAATACAGAAATTCTCTAGGTGTTCGGAACTTAAGCAAGGCTCAAAACCCAGCCAAGAAAAAAATACAACGTTTACAGAAGGAATAGTCTGAGAATCATTTTAAAATGATGCTGATACATATATATCACTTTTTTATCAACTAATCACTGGTAAAAACTTGAAACGCCAACAGCTTGTCATGGCCATCATACAACACATGGCGGCTTTTACGTTCAGGCAGATGATTGATGTTGTCTCTGGAGACATCTATGCCAAAAGCATGGCATTAACAGCAATCAAATAACAAAGCGGAGATAATGATGATGATGAAGATCTTTGTGAGATTTTCCGCTTCACTGGTCTCCTCTTTCCACTTGGCTAATCATATAGCGGTAATGAAAGTTATATATAGGCCTATGGCAGGTCGAATTTTCAATCTATTGAATCAACTACATTTACAATAATGTCCCAAATACCTGTAGTGGTCAATTCTGTAAAGAACTTTACATTTGAAATAAACATGCTTCTAACTTGCTCGATTCATTATTATAACCCTTGCAACTTGTACAGATTGTGAAGACAACATGGCATTAATGTGACACTTGCACAACACTACAGTATTGACAACAGGATATCGATGTAACACTTGTACAACACTTATAGTATAGACAACACGACATCAATGTAACACTTGTACATCACTTATAGTATAGACAACAGGACATCAATGTAACACTTGTACATCACTTATAGTATAGACAACAGGACATCAATGTAACACTTGTACATCACTTATAGTATAGACAACAGGACATCAATGTAACACTTGTACATCACTTATAGTATAGACAACAGGACATCAATGTAACACTTGTACATCACTTATAGTATAGACAACAGGACATCAATGTAACACCTGTACATCACTTATAGTATAGACAACAGGACATCAATGTAAGACGACTTGTGCAACACTTATAGTATAGACAACAGGACATCAATGTAACACCTGTACAACACTTATAGTATAGACAACAGGACATCAATGTAACACTTGTATATGCTTATAGTATAGACAACAGGACATCAATGTAACACCTGTACAACACTTATAGTATAGACAACAGGACATCAATGTAACACTTCTACAACACTTATAGTATAGACAACAGGACATCAATGTAACACTTGTACATCACTTATAGTATAGACAACAGGACATCAATGTAACACCTGTACAACACTTATAGTATAGACAACAGGACATCAATGTAACACTTGTACAACACTTATAGTATAGACAACAGGACATCAATGTAACACTTCTACAACACTTATAGTATAGACAACATGACATCAATGTAACACCTGTACAACACTTATAGTATAGACAACAGGACATCAATGTAACACTTGTATATCACTTATAGTATAGACAACAGGACATCAATGTAACACCTGTACAACACTTATAGTATAGACAACAGGACATCAATGTAAGACGACTTGTGCAACACTTATAGTATAGACAACAGGGCATCAATGTAACACTTCTACAACACTTATAGTATAGACAACAGGACATCAATGTAAGACGACTTGTGCAACAATGTAACACCTGTACAACACTTATAGTGTAGACAACAGGACATCAATGTAACACTTGTACAACATTTATAGTATAGACACCAATCAGGTCATCAATGTAACACTTGTACGTCGCTTATAGTATAGACAACAGGACATCAATGTAACACTTGTACAACATTTATAGTATAGACACCAAACAGGGCATCAATGTAACACTTGTACATCGCTTATAGTATAGACAATAGGACATCAATGTAACACTTGTACAACAATTATAGTATAGACAACAGGGCATCAATGCAACACTTGCGGTGGTGTCCGTTGTCCATCTGGTGTCCGGTGTCATTTGATTCCTTTAAAATACTTCTTTTATTAGAAGCAGACAAGTCTTTGCGGTCTATAGAACTGGCCAGTAACAGGGTTAGGTTATGTTTAAATGAATTTGATATCATTTTAAGGACACATGAGTCTTTTGTATTGAAGTGTCCAGAATTATATTCTGCCAGTGGCATGCTGAGGTCAAGAACTTACCCAATTGGGGAACCTAGGCTTTCATTCAATGTTATCAGGATCAAATTTGTGCAAATGATTTTTTTCTTTTCAATATTTACCATTTTATGGCATTCCTACGATGTAACTTTACCGGTCAGGTGTGTATTACCAGCCTATGACTGCCAGCGGCGAAGGAATATTGAAAGCGGTTTGAATGGTTTGGAGTTTCACTCCCTTATAACAAAACTAAAATTGAAAATGATAAATGTAAGCATTGAAATTCTTTTAGGTTGCATTCATGGGCATATGAATGACAAAAGGATACAGGCAAATGCAACATTGAGCGCGGACGCTTTACTTTTGGCATTTATATGCCCATGAATGCCAACTGAAAGCAGTTCAATATGTAATTAATCATGATGGTATGAAAGTCTCAATCATTGTTAACTTACTTGACCCATTATCAAGAATTGAACATGAACGTTTTCTTAATAGATAATAACTTATCCTCATGAACTAGAGAACTGGTATGTTCATAATGATTATCCAATGTTTTAACTTTTGAGTAGGCTGGCTTTTAGAGACACGCAATATCCATAACTTTGGGCTAAACATTTATTATAAAAGTATTTTTTGTTTTCATATTTCTTTATGAATGAAATATGTATATACATAGGAACGTGTTCTTCAGGCTGTTATTGTCAATAGAATAAAAGTTCTTATGAAACGACCGGTAGCACATTTGATTGTGACGTTTCGATGACTACACGGTCACCTTCAACAGACAAATGAAAATAGGCCGAAAATAGTATGACGAGATGGTAAACAATTTAACGACCAAAATACACAAAATCATAATGTACTCTAGCGGATTCGGCTACGTTTTGTTTAACACTTGGTCATAAATGTGCGAGAGTCTGCAGCTGATCCAGCACTTGGAATCATTCAGAGCCACCTAGAGCAAGACCGGTCACAGCGAAAGAACACCACTCTTATATAATTTGCCCTCCGGAATACCATCTATTTTCAACGGTTTTCACCGCCATGTGCAGCCCAGTATCTCTGATTGTGGCCAACTTCTTCAAAGAGTACTTGAAGAAGCTATAGTCATGACCCCTGTAGAATGCAAACCCAGCCTGTGGAAGTGGTATGTTAATGATATAATAATCACGGAAGGATCAGTAACGTAGATATCACAAATAAACAGCATCCATTTTGGCTGTAGGGGTGAAATCAATGACACTATGCCATTCCTTGACATTCACCTAGTAAAGAAAGGTGGCGGTACTATCCAAGTACTGGTCTATAGGACAAATTATCACATAAACCAATACCTCAACTTCCAATCGAACCACCCCTTACACCAGAGGTTGGACGTTGTACGAACCTATCTCAACAAAAGGGAAACGATTGTCACAGAAGAACAAGACAAGAAGAACAAAATGACCTCCATTTCCCCATGAAAACATGTGAATATCCTAATTGGGCAATCCAGAAAATTAATGTAGCCAGGTGATAGAATACATCATTTTAAATCATCACGCGCAAGGCCAGTATGAGAGAATGTATGTATATGCACGTACAGCATGGACTTCACGTCCTCTGCCCAGTCACCGCCAATTCCTGCCGGGAGTCCCCTCACTCTCACAGCACCCCTCGACATAGACACACGTACCTGTCAGAGGCTAACAGTACTCCACCTGTAGCTGGCGTCCCTGGTAAGCCATTTTTAAGTCATTCATACATATAATATGTACTTTTATTTACCTAATCATAAATAGTTTCGTTATATTTCTTCTTAAATATTATCTTATCATACTTGTTTTTATAATTTGTCAGATGAAGCGCCGCGCACACACTGTAATGTGGTCAGCCAAATGACAGAACAGTGGACGATGAAGAGGTAGACTGTCAGTTACTGTCGTGTGCGAGGTTTGTGTGAGTGAATGAGTAAAGATAATTGTATCTTGTACTTTTAGGTCTTCTGACTACAAAACAATACACCTTAACCAAAATAAAGGGCTTTGGTATTATCTGTCATACCCACGGCTACACTTTGGCGCCCAACGTGTTTGTATTTTGAAGACCTGGGTCTATATTGCTACGTAGTTCCCAACCAGTCCGTTCTGGCTATTAGGCCGCTGAATACCGGAAGTGATGGTCCCCGCGTGTTGACAACACGAGACAGAACCAGGACAGAGGTTACAGACCTCTTGAAGATTTTGGAAAGAGCAGCAAAGTGCGCGATACTGTTCAGAGGGAGCCCAGCAGTTGTTATGATGTCAATAAGTATAGTGTTGATAACTAGTCAGTGACAAATATGATATCCTGACTTGATTGAAGACATCGTGTGATCAGCGTTGCTGACAAGCTGTAACTGGACTAAGACCACATCTACCGTGTTCTCGGAATCCGGAGCGTTGATTACGATTGGCGTTTACAAAATTTAATTTTGGATATACGTTTTCAATTTCATATCATTAATTTTTTAACGTGTTAAATTACATGGCTGTTAATGAAATAATCAGAGTGGAGTGTATACTGTGATTTTGGATGAAACATATATTGTAAATTAATTCAATTCAGTAGATACTTTAAATCAATTAGTTTGCTTATTATGATGTCTGTGAATACTGTTGGAGTGAATAAGAATGTCAGAATGTGTTTGTAAGTTTTATTAGCTTTGTATACTTTGTGAATCTTTTATCTTGCCAGGGACAGAAGGATCATTGATAATCCCATCCTATGCTCTGATCATCACCCCTTGATAATTTGAATTCATCACCATCACCATGTTTGGACCTAATCTAATCTAGTCGCACCTTTCCTTCCTAATCCAATATCACAGAATGTAAGGTAAGGTAACCCACTTTCCTTGATTTGATATTCATTGTTATGAGATTGCACCTGGCTGCTTACTCCTGATATTATAGGTTAATAGTTATATATTTATTATATAGTATATTTACAGGCTTATTTCTATTTATGAGTTTGAGTAAACTTAATAAATTTCTAGATAAACCTA